CTCCGCACCCTGCTGCTGACCTTGACCGCCAGGGGCAGGCTGGGGTCCACTTTCTTCTGCAAGGAAGGGGTGCAGCATGAGAGAGGGACCTCCCGCAGACGAGGACGCCTGCAGGTCTTGGGTGCGGGGGAGGCCCACGGGTGCCTGGTGTCTCCTGACCCCCGGTGTCCGCTGCGTCCCCTGATCTGACGATTGGGCTGAAATGCCCCAAAGTCCTGAAACCCCTCACCCCAAAAGCAATGATGGCTGGGGGAACAAAACTATGACAACCTGGGTTACCAGATGGTGGCCCAAAACGAAGGGACCCACGGTCCAAACACTGACGGAGGAGGCAGAGGCAGGGGAGGGGCTGGGACATTATGGGTGTGAGACATGGATGGACACGGAGGATCACGGGAAAGCCCGTGCGAGGACACCTGCTGATCAAAGTAAAAGCCCCTGTTCCCAGTCAGAATTGCTCAGGGAAATGTGGTCTGCGGGCAACCTGGCAGGGCACATGTTAAAAGGCATAGCCCGTTCATTCGCTGAAGTTTTTTTTTTTTTTTGAGTTGGAGTCTCACTCCGTTGCCCAGACTGGAGGGCAGTGGCATGCTCCCAGCCACCGCAGCCTCCACCCCCTGGGCTCAGGTGATCCTCCTGCCTCAGCCTCCTCAGTAGCTGGAACCACGGGTTCACGCTACCACGCCCGGCTCATTTTTGATTTATTGCAGAGATGAGGTCTCGCCAAATTGCCCAGGTGGGTCTTGAACCCGCGGGCTCAGGCCATCCACTCACCTCGGCCTCCCAAGGCGCGGGATGACAGGCCGAGCCACCGAGCCCGGCTCGCTGAACGTTAGTGCCCAGTTGTATCACTCAGACATTGCTAAGTGCCGTCGAGGAACACTGGTGGGCAGATCAGCCCCCGTGTCCATCGAGGGGTGATGGGTCAGCACAGCACGGTCCATTCACACGGGGGACACGACTCAGCCACGGAAAGCAAGTAGGCTCTGACGTAGGCCACAACGTGGATGGACCCAGAGGACGTCACGCTCCGTGCAGACCCGACACAGAAGGACGCACCCTGGAGGATTTGGTTTATATAAAGCACCAGCCCGAGAAAAAGCAGCAATGACTGATGCTGACGGTCAGTGACAATGACAATGGCGTGACAGGGCAGTCAGCAGCATTGGGGGCCCTGCTCCGTGTCACACTGAGGACGTAACCACGTGCCTCGGGAAGTTCCCCAGCAAGTGGCTGCAGAGTTTGAAAACTAAACATCTGCCAGCAAGAGCAGAAGGTCAACGGGCAAGGGCGACTCTGTGGTCTGCCTGTGGCTTAACCCAGCCTGGCTCTACGCGTCTGCCTGCGCGGCTGCTCATGGTCAGGACTGAAGGGGGTTCCCAAACAGTAAACTAATGTCACTGATTTCACCAACCCATTCACTTATCTACCCACCCCCCACCCATCCACCTCCCAGCCATCCATCCATCTACCCACTGACCCACCCATCCATTCCCTAGTTCATGAGTCCCCCTCGGGGCAGGCAGGAGGCCAAGTGCTGGCCCAGAACATAAGTTGTGAATTGGGGCAGACAGGCCATGTACCCTTGTCCCTAAGGAAGCTGGGAGGAGCCCGAGAAAGAGCATTCAAAGCTCAGAGGGCAGGGGGAGTCCATGGAGTTGACAAACGGACCCTGCAACATGGCGGAGACAGCCGCCGGGCAGCACTGCCGAGAAAGAGCAATGGGCAAGAGAGGACAGGCCACCAAGGCATGGGGGAGGGCAGGGCCCAGCACAGGCAGGGGCCAGCCTCTGACAGTTGCACGGGGTGGTGGAGGGGTCTCGAGTCAGCTGAGGGGAAGGGTGTCACGCCTAAGGGTCATGCGTCCTTCATGGCGGAGGGGGTCAGTGAACCCAGGGCCAGGCAGTGGAAAAGCAGGAGGTACACTCTGTCGTCCGGGCGGGAATGCAATGGCACCATCACAGCTCACCGCAGCCTTCACCCCCTGGGCTCAGGTGATCCTCCTGCCTCAGCCTCCTCAGTAGCTGGAACTACGGGCACACACCCCACACCCAGTTAATTTTCTTTTTTTGATTTTTTTACCCAGGCTGGTCTCGAACTCCTGGGCTCAAAAGACCCTCCCACCTTGGCTTCCCAGAATGCTGGAAGGACAGGTGTGAGCCACCACGCCTGGCCAAAAGATGCGTTTTTAAGGCGTGAACCAAGACATAAAAACCAGAATTCACCCTGCCCCGCCCCGCGCCCCGAGTTGACCGGCTCCCGGGGCAGAAGGGCTCCCAGGGACTCCCAGGCTGAGAGCCGGGCCGGCATCACGCGCCCCCTCCTGGTCGCACCTTGTACTGCAGCCGGTGCCGCCGGCCCCGCACGTGCGTGTCCCGGGCATTGAGGTCATTGAAGCTGCACTGGCACAGCCTGCAGTGGAACCGCAGCACTCGCCCCTCGTCGCTGCACACCTGAGACACAGGGCACAGCTGAGCGCTCGCCAGGCATCGCCCTGGGGGGGTGTGGAACGTCCCTGGCCCCAGGTCGCTGGGCCTTCTGGGCCAGGCGCGGCGGCTCACGCCTGTCATCCCAGCACTTTGGGAGGCCGAGGCAGGAGGATGGCTTGAGCCCGGGAGCTTGAGGCTGCAGTGAGCCACGACTGCCCCACTGTGCTCCAGCCTAGGCGGTGAAGCGAGACGTTGTCTCTTTTCTTTCTTTTAAGAGACAGGGTCTTGTTCTGTTGCTCAGGCAGGAGCGCAGCGGTACAGCTGTGACTCCTGGGTCCAAGCCATCCTCCAGCCTCGGCCTCCTGAGCAGCTCAGACTACAGACGCCACTCCGCCCCGCTAATTTGGTCGGTTTTGTTCAAAGCCCAGGCTCCTCCCCCACACCTCTCCCCTCTTCCTCCTGCTGGGCATTCAGACCAACTGAACCTCCGACCTCACCCTGTCCTGTGGACCACCCTGCAGGCCCCATGGTGGGTCCTGGTGACTGCTGGCCCTCCCCTGTTTCCTCTGGCGTCCGGTGTCTTGTCTCCTTAACTGGGTGCCTGGGACTCCCAGGGCCAACCTCCTACAGGGTCATGTTGCACTGGACATATTGGGTCATGCTCACGAGAACAGGTCACCAATCCTCTGGCTTCTCTTCAGTGCGTGTGCAGTTACGGGAGAACATTCTGCCTGTCTCTGGGGCGCTCACAGGGGAAGAGGCCTCGGAGTTAAGCCAAACCCCACAGGTCACTTGCTTGGGCTCTGGGAGCCCGTGGGTGGCCGAGCGGGGCACCCAGTGGCTCCCAATGACCCATCGGGGGCTGGGATTTAGAATCCCAGCAATTGGCAAGCCCAGTCGTGCCTCCCCTACACAAGGATCAGGCGTCTGAAGGCCTGCGGCAGATCTGGACCCGGGCACCATGCCACCACTCACCAGCCTGGCCTCTGTGGGTCCCAGTGCCCATCAGGGCCAGGAGGGGGGCTGGAGGGGGGTCTCTGGCCTCCCCAGAGCTTTCTCCTGCCCTGGTTCCTTTCCAGTGTCCCGATGGACAGCTTGGTAGGCCCCACTGGGAACCGCCTCCGCCCGCGTCCAGCCAGGTGAGGCCACATCCAGTTCCTCCTCAGAGCTCACACCCAGGGCCCCAACTGTCTCGTGGCCCCACACGGGGTTTGGGCCCTCGAGGCCTGACCACACCGCTCAGGAGCAGGGATGGGGTTGTCAATGTCGCCCAAGAGAAGCTGGCCAGGTCTCGGGCCTGACCCGCGAGAGGGTCCCGCCCACCTGGGCCCACACCGACAGCGCTGGGGCTGGAGGCTGCTGTGCCCCGACTCACCTCCTCCACGAAGTCCAGGCCCACTGGCTGGGTGTCACCGCTGCCCGTGGAAGCCTCCCCCGGATCTCCTCGGGTGGGCACGTCCTCTAGCCCCTGCGATGTGGGTCGGGCCGGCTTTCCTCCGTGGGGTCTGCTGCCCACTGCCCGCAGCTCGCGAGACCCTGAGGGAGACAAGGGTGTTGCTGACAATCTACCTGGCCTGAGAACCGCCAGGCCACGCAGGGCGGAGTCTCGCAGGCCTGGGGCAAAGTTGCCCATTTCCCTCCTCGTGATGTCCCTGGGAGCCACCCTGTCCAGCGGCCTTGGGGCAGGACAGCTAGCACAGCTTAAATACAGATGAGTTCCTCACAGGTAGGCATGTCCTGGGTCATTAGGAAACAGGCCAGTGCGGTGGCTCACGCCTGTCATCCCAGCACTTTGGGAGGCTGAGGCGGGAGGATCGCTTGAGCCCAAGAGTTTGAGATCAGCCTGGGCAACATAGTAAGACCCTACCTCCACAAAAAAATCAAGAAAATCAGCCAGGCATGGTAGTGCATGCCCCTAGTTGCAGCTATTCAGGAGGCTGAGATGGGAGGATCACCTGAGCCCAGGAGCCTGCAGTGGGTGATCGTGTCACTGCCCTCCAGCGAGGGTGACAGAGTAGTACCCCAACTCAAGAACAAAAGAAAAAGAGTCGCTGTGGACATGAAGTCAGTCAATGCACAGGCTGCAGTGAGCAGGTGTCTGATGCTGAACCCTGGTAATCACTCTCCATAACGGTCAGCTGCGGGCCGGGAAGGCCGGGCCAGAGGGAGCCCTCTTCACTCCCGTACCCACATAACTCCAATCAGAGCCCCATTTGCTCCCCATGGGCACTGGGGCCTGTGGGGCTGCTTGAGGTGGGGTGATGGGCGGTGAGGGTACTCTCCGGGCCTAGGGCAGGGCTTCCAGGGACCCCACACTCAGCACCAGTCCTAACTCCCCGGGATGTTCCCGAAAGCAGCCTCTAAGGGTATCCAGGGCTTGGGCTGTTGAGTCGATGGTGGAGCCCACCTGCCAGGGAAGGAGGGAGAGGCCAGCTCCCGCCCACCACCCCACCCCGAAAGGGACGGACGGCCCCCTCCCCTGAGACTCCCAGGGCGGCCAGGGACACGCACCCTCACGTGGGACGCTCGAGGCCGCCGAGGTCTTGGCCGGCACGGGCCTACTCGGAGCATGCACGCTGGGGCTGGTGGGGGCCTGGGCCTTGGCCTCGGGGGAGGAGGCCTCCTTGGCCGGGGGCCCTGGCAGCCTGCAGCTCCCAGGCTCGGGCTCGAAGGCCGGGATGGGCTTCCCCAGTCGGGTGTGCAGCTTGAGGACCTGGAACAGACCGGGCGGCGTCAGGACGCTCTAGCCTGACGGGCCCTCCTCACGGGGGTGGGGGTCCCACCCTGAGCCGCCTCCTCCCCACTCCTGAGTGGCACCACTGGGAGGCCCTCCTGAGCCTGGCGCATGCACGGCGCCTCTAGCGGTCTCACACCCTTGGTGGCCCCCGGCAACGCTCTTCCCGCAGCTCCACGCATGGGCTGCGGGGTGTGGTGGCTTCTCGGCCTCCCAAGCCCCAGCCGAGGGCCCCCGACAGACGGGGACGCAGCATGTGGATGGAGTGTGGTTCCGGCACACCGTGTCCTGCACACGTGTGGGCAGGCCACCGGGTGGGCATCTCCCTATTCTGGTTGGGGGCTTCCTGGGTAAAGGCACTTATCGCAAAGGCTCTGGTGGGACAGGGCTGCCCCACCCCCTGCCTTTGTGCTACACGGGCCAGCCTGGGGTCTCTGACTCTCTCCATTCAGAACTGCCCCGCCCCCACCACGGGCTGCAGGGCCTCTCTGGCCTCCAGCCCCAGCCGGGGAGACTGATGCCGGCAGCCCCTCCACCTGCCCTCCTGCGGCTGCCATGCCAGGGGGCCTCCTTCCCCGGTTCACCACCCCCATCTGTGAGCTCCTCTGTGGGTGCCTTCGGGCCTACAGAAGCCTGTGCTGAGCTGAGCAGGAAATAAGGCTCAAGACAGGCCAGGCCCCCAGGGCGGCCCAGCCCGCAGCAGACTGGACGCCCAGAGGGCAGAGAGGGTGGCCAAGCGCTGTGACTCAGGCCTGTACTCCCAGCGCTTTGGAAGGCTGAGGCGGGAGGACTGCTTGAGCCCGGGAATTTGAGGCCAGCCTAGGCAAGAGAGAGACCCCATCTTTACAGAAAAGGAAAAAATGAGTTGGGCATGGTGGCACATGCCTGCAGTCCCAGCTACTCGGGAGGCTGAGGCGGGAGGATCTCCTAGTCCAGGAGGTTGAGGCTGCGTTGAGCCGTGATTGTGCCATGCTCTCCAGCCTGGGTGACAGAGACCCTGACCCAAAAAAAGAGGGAGTCTAGACACCTGTAGGAGCTCTGTGCACCGGGGCAGCAGGACAGGACTTCCTGACCCTCCTGCTCGGTAACCTGCAGGGCCAGAAACTCCCCTTCTCCTGTCTTGCAAGCACCCCGAGAGGTGCCATGTGGAGGCCCCAGCAGACATGGGGCCAGCGGCCAGCTACCTCCCTCCCTGTGCTCAGGCAAGGACATCCTCTGTCCCCCCCTAAGGTGACATGGTGCAGAGAAACAGGAAATCAGAAAGCAGAAAGTGGGAAAAGCAGGACCCCAGACGAACGCACTGCAGTGTCTTATCACAGAGCAGGCTCTGCCTACAGCCACACCCAGAAGCCATGCTTTCCTGGAGGCTGGGTGTGGTTCTTATCACAGAGCAGGCTCTGCCTACAGCCACACCCAGAAGCCATGCTTTCCTGGAGGCTGGGTGTGGGTGTCCGGCAGGGCTGCATGCTTTAGTACAGTCAGCAGGAGTGTGTTGTTTTAAAGAGACAGGGTCTGGCTCTGTCACCCAGGGTGGAGTACAGTGGTGCCATCATAGCTCACTGCAGCCTTGACCCCCTGGGCTCAAGTGATCCTCCCACCTCAGCCTCCCAAAATTTTTTGGTTTGTTTGTTTTTTTTGAGTTAGTCTTACTCTGTCACCCAGACTGGAGTGCAGTGGCTGCTCCCAGCCACCACAGCCTCGACCTGCT